TAAAAATAATAATAAATCAATTAAGAAAATAAAATAGAATAACGTAAAAAGAAAAAGAAAACAATAAAAGAAAAATAAACAAACCGTTAAGCTCGTCCGTAACACCTCAATCAAAATCAGCCTGCACACCACGAACTACCTATACTGCATTTAGTGAAGTAGTATTAAGTATTACTTAAAATCAGGTGCCATTCTGACTGTGAAGAGAAGCATATTGACACAATAACACTTGATTCACCGTGCTGCAAGGAATGACAAGAAAGGCAGGCAAAAGAAGAGAGAAAGAACAGAAGTAGGGCCGATGACATCATGGACCACGGCAGTGACGTCAACTATGCCGGCAGGATACTCTGTCATAAAGACACCCACTCCTCCCCACCTCTCATTACCCCAATAAGCAACAATAAAAATAAAATAAAATATCATGAAAGAAAGAAAAGAATAAAGCTCTTTCGTCATTGCATTAAGAAACTAAAATCCAGTCTTCGCAGGCCATATAGATATATTCTTATCAAAACTAACCCGTACATCTTCAACAGACAACTGGTAGTGTAATTATGTTCTTCGTGTGTGAAGTGCATGTTATTATCGTCATCGATTGCGCTGTGACGATTGGAATGTCTACGTTTTATGTTTTGTATTTTTATTTTTGTAGAGGTTTTGCGGCGCTCGCAACTCTTAGCCTCAGTAGTCTAAAGAGCGTACATGTAGGTACACATATATATTCACGAACAAGTATTTTATGTTTTCAAGGCATTGTAAAGTGCCTAGAGATGTATTGTTTTCATTTAGATGTAGTAAGAGTTTTGCGGCACTTGGTACACACTGGGGTCATATTAGCGCCCCCAAGATTAAAAGTGTTACAAGAAAGTAAAAAACACAATAAAACAAAGAAGGGGGGCTTCACTACTATAGAGTATAGAGAGACTACAAAGAGTATAATATATTCAAAGAAAGGGGGGGGGGGGGGTAAAGACGACAGATATAGGAAAAGAAAGAAGGGAAAAACACACCAGAGCACCCGCCAGCCTTTGACGAGATGTATCGTGGGAGCGGCTGCTATGGAAATAACCGTTATGTTATAATTTTTCTTTTTATCCCAAGATTGACTAAAATAAGAGCAATAATAAGAAGCCAACCTGCGCGCTCAGGTTCCAGGGCAATAAACATGACTTGGTCCTTGTTGTGTGGGCCGGCTCCATGCTCTCTCGACTCGTCTGGCACCGGGATGGTGACAGAGATCCACACATCTTCTCCCCAATGCTGGATGTACTGACCGCTGGCCAGCTTGGTCATGCCCAGGGTCTCCTCTATGCGGACAGGGGTGGGCGTGATCGGGGTAGGGGGCGGGGCCAACAGACCAGGTGAGGGTAGATGATGTGGTGGGGGAGGAAGATGTGGAATTGGTGGCGCAGTTGATGTATCCATGGGGTAGATAAGTGACGGCGGTTGGCAGGGGGCGTGGCTGGGGTCTGGCTGGGCGGCCATCATGTAGTTTGTGTGGGGGGACGCTGACGCCATGCGCACCATAGACTGGGCGGCCAATACTCCGTTAGCAGATGAAATGGGGCAGTGAAAGTTTGATGACTGGATAGCTTGGTAGCTTGACATGTATATTGCTTGGCAGTTGGGCGGCGGGGCGTCGGTCTCCATAAACTGGGTGGCGACCGTGAGGGCCGGGGGTGTGACCAAGGGGGCTGCGCCGGCGGCGGCGGCGGCGGCTGCATCTACAAAGAGAGGTTCGGAGACCCGGTTGTCCGTGGACACCGTGAGGGGGCGCTGTGAGGGGCCAGTGCGGGACATTGCCGGAGGCTGGAAGCTTGGGCCACGGTGTGTCACTGACACATAATGCGGCACTCGTCCGTTTGGTCGGCCACCCAACAGACGGTGGTGATCTGCGCCATTCTGGCGGAACGCTTGACGATGTTGTACAACCCCATTATGTCCCTTTACTGGAGGCTTTTGAGCCGGGCTATTACGTCCCTTTTCCTGAGGGCGTTGAGCTGCACCGTTTTGACCGACTGCCTGGGGCTTTTGAACCGATGCTTGGGCCTGGCCAGCTTTACCAGATGTCGGCCCTTCCTGTTTGCCATTGTTTTTTTCATTCTTGGGAACAATGAAATGTTTCTTTTTGTTATTATTGGCCCCTTTCTTCTTTTGTGACGCAACCTGACCACCCTTGTTTTGCTGCGGGGTTTTCGGTCTGCAGCCTCCAGAACAGTCTGTACTAGAGCCGACCGGGGGATCTGGGAACGGCGTGAGAACCATGGCTGGCTTTCTTCAGCGAAATGAGGAAAAACAGGAACACAAAAACATACAATGTAAAACGTAATCTGTTTAGTTTAAAAGTTTTGTTTTGTACGATAAACTTTTATTTTTTCTTTACTACTATTAGTACATAAATGTTAAGGTAGTGTCAATTGCCACTGAGTAAATTGGAGCTCTTTTGCGTTGGCGGGTAGATCTAGCATATTGTGCTTGAGTGCTCGGTGTTGTACGTTCGCCTCTCGGTCTCTGTGTATGTGTGTGTGTGT